CCAGGTTCCCACTTCATTCCCTCATTCCCAGCTAAGCACGAGCAAGTCTAGGGTCCACGCAGAAAATTCGCCAAGAACCACGGAGCTGGCAGCACAAGGTACAACAGGAACAAAAATGTCGAGGACGAAAGTCAGCCCAGCATGTACACGTTCCTCTGGTTGAGGCACCACCACGTATAAATCGATCTGGCGGCCAGCTCCTACATCACGCCATAGCTCCACAGTGACCCTTTTGATCTCGTCCACTGAGAAGACTTCCGATCTCAGTGGGAATGAAGTGAGCCCATCCACCATGGCATACTCAAAAAGCACAAGTCCAGCGGCAGGGGACAAGCCAGCCATCTCAAGACCTGTCAACGACGGTAAGTAGGCCTCATTCCGCACGGTGACCACAATGTCAATGTCAAAGTCGCCAATAGCCGTGGCCTCATCAGCGCGCCCATCCGCCATGGCACTAAACTGATCGTCCACTGGTGGGACAAAGTCTCCATGAGAGACGTTTCCAGGCATCTTCTGGGGCCTGTGAGGGGGTTCATTCTCTTTCTTGTTTCATGAGTTTGGAACTCCTTATAAGACAGATCTAAGTTAAGAAACTGTAAAAGTAATGTTTCTCATGCCAAAGCTCGACATAAAGCTTACCAAAAACTTGAAAATACAACAAAGAGTCCAAATTAAAGTCGAAATTCATCAAGAAGTCCAAACTAAAGTTGAAATTGCCAGATATAGGCCAAATTATGATTGCAAAGTCCAAGTTACATTTGAAATTGCCCACTAGAATCCAAATTAAAATAGAAATTGATTCAAAGATTTCAATTAAAACTAAAATTTCTCGAGAAAAGCTCGAATTAAACTCGACTGGCTTTCAACTGAGCTTATACATGAGCTTTTCTCGAACTTTTTTCTCGAGCAAACCTCGAGCAAACCTCGAATTAAACTCGAATTGTTGAGTTTTATTTGAGCTTTCTTCTAGAAAAGCTCGAGAAAAGCTCGAATAAAAGTTCGATTAAGATTCGAATTTTGAAAAATACAGAAATTAAAAATATATTTTCAACAAACAGTGGCCGTGAACACCCAAATTTTCCAAAATAGTGGTCAAGGTGGACACCCAAAATAGTAACTTAGGTCCATATGATTTTTGGTCCCAAAATAGTAACTTTGGTCTTGATTCAACTAAAGTTGAAATTGATTTTCAACTATTATGTGTGGCCTCGACTATATTTTCAACTTCTATTTGGAAATTAGTCTTCCGTCCGACTGTTTAAACAAGCTTTTGGTGATCTAAAATCGAGGTTTAAGGTGTATCTGTCTTATAAGGATTCCGAACTCATAATTCTTATTCCCTCCCTCAAGGAAGTTCCTTGTGAGCGTCTTCTGGGGCTCATCCAGTGAACAAGGTGCAGAAACACCGCACCTAGAAAAGCTGGGCGACTCAAGGACTGGAGAATCAAACTCATCTCCACAGTCCGCTAAAGTGAAATCGAAACTTGTGCCATGTGAAGAAGGGTCAAAAAATCTCCACTGGCTAAAGGAAGCAAATGACACGCCAGGATCGCCCGGCCTAGTCAAAAAGGCTTCTTCATTTCGGAGGCCTGAGACGGAGAGGCCTGCACCGAGCTTTTGCGAGCCTTCCTCGGGGTAGCACTTTTTGGAGACCTCGAGCGCTCTGCCTTTAGACGCTGAGGATCCACTTCCATGCCATGTTCGCCCCCACCAGGACGTTCTTCTGAGAGCGAGCCCAGATCGTCTTCCAGCAGCTGTGGGATGGAGAAGGAGGGGATCTCGTCGGCATCCACAATCTCCACACCCTTGGAGGAGTCCACCAAATTCCCATCTTCCCAAACTTCGCCAGGGGCGACAGCGAGTTGGTGGCTCTGCAACTGCTGCTGAAGGCGCAAGATCTGAAGCTTGGCCTCGGCAATCTCTTGTGAGGTGGATTTCAGGGCCTGGCAGAGCTGAACTTCTTCAGAAGAAAGGTCTGCATAGAGGCCTTGTAACTCACCCAATTCCTCCCAATAGTTTCCCACTGAGCTAACAGCTTGTCCAAATGCTGCTGTTTGCGCTGCAGCTTCCCAGGGAGCGTAACCAGAGAAGGCGTACTCAAAGAAGAAGAAGAGCTGGACGAAGGTTCTTCCTTGCGTGCAACCTTCAAATTGGCTACCAATTCTTTCACTCTGGAGGCGTCCAAGGTCTCCATGTCCGTCTCTGTCAGAGCCCCAAGCTCGTCCACGATGGAGTCCACCTTGGAGGGGGGAACATTTGGGACCATTGGACCTGAAGTAGCTGCTGTGTCTGCTGCTGCAACCTCCACCCGGGCCAACACTGTCTCCGGAGCTGCTGGTGGATCGGGCACTTGCGCAGGAGCGTAAAGATCTAGCAGCGGCATATCCTCCTCCTTTGCGTCCTTCTGGGATCCGGGAGTTTCCTCTCGTTCTTGGGCTTGTCGCCACCCTTGCAGCCTTTCCCCTGTCCCTTCTTGAAGGATGCTGCCTTCGCGGAAGAATCTCTCTGGCGCCGTCGTGGAGTTTTCGGCTTCTGGGAAGCTCCTCCTGCAGCGGTCTGGGATTCGTAGCCATTGCCACATCTTCTGCAGAACCATACTGTATTCGGCACCTTCAAACTGCATCCCGCACATTGCCAAGTCATAGGGCGGTGGGGTCTGGAGATCCTGAACAAGGGATCTCTTGAGTGATGTCCAGCCAAGACCCAGCGAAGCTTCTGTCTGCGAGAAGCCGACAGCAGAAGCAAGCCTTGAGCTTCCGCCCAAAGCGAGTGGCGAGCAGCTGAGCGCTGTCGCCTGGAGCGGCGCCGCCAAGCCGAGGCAGAGCGCCGAAAGAAGCCGGGACCAGAAGCCACCACCGCACATGCGCAAGGGCCCACGCATGGGAGCGAAGCGAAAAAAAAAGGCAATGCGACACAGGGCTCCACCCCGGTCAGCAAAGCCCGCGCCGCTGAAGCGCTAGGGTCAGCCCACAAAAATTGAGCCGACGCCTTTTAAGTTTAAACATATATATATATGTTTATATCATTCCTCAACTTAGCTCTAAGAACTTTAATGTCTCGCCTCCAAAGCTTGCCACAGGCGTTTCGCTCGCTTGGCCTTCAAGGCTTCGTACTCCTCGCCCTGTACTTCGGTCGTTACACAACAAGGACTTTGAAAATAAAAGAACACGCACACAAGAAACACAACGTGTGACACAACGTGTGACACAACGTGTGACGTGTTGTATAAGCACAAGCAACCTCTCAAAACTGTCAGTCGAAGGAAACACATCTTGATCGTCTTGACCAAACATTCACGATACACTGCAGGACTTGAAGCGCGGGCAAGACAACCCACACAAAAGAATGAAAGCTTGCAAACAACACCTTCTTTAGGACAAAGGACAAAGGTGTTTGCATCTCCCGCTGCATGTCTGCTTTCAATCTTCAAAAATGGTGTTTGCCAGAAAATGACATCACATCTTCAAAGCTACCTTGAGGTTCTCCCAGATCTCAAATGGCTCGTTGCCGGCCCTGCATGACACAACTACGGTGATGTTCAATGAGGCTATAAGCTTAATGGTGATGGCCTCCAACCTACTAGCGATGGCCTCCAACCTACTAGCAATGGCCTCCAACCTATTAGCGATGGCCTCCAACCTAATAGCGACGGCCTCCAACCTACTAGCAATGGCCTCCAACCTATTAGCGATGGCCTCCAACCTAATAGCGACGGCCTCCAACTCAAGTTCTAGTTTCCGTAGCACAATTTGCAGTCGCGAAAGCCCCATGCCCATCACCCAAAGTATGCACCATGCTCACCCGTAGAGGTGAAGAACCAGCTTTCCCGGAGGGCATAGCGTGGGATCCAGTAAAGCAGGGTTTGAGATCGCCACCTGCGCAATGAGATCACTTGATTCTTTTTTGCGTTGTGAAAACACGAGCTATTCACTATACTGGACACATCCATAGTACGACTGATGCATAAACGAAACGATCACTAAAAACAGCTACTTATAATGTACTTGTTTCATCAAGCCCTGAAGCATTGCAGCAACTCCTGAAAACTCTGTCACCGCCTATCAAGAAACACAACCACAATGGTATACTACCAACCTGCACTGTATGGGTGCGAGCAGTGCGGCCACCCTTTTTTCCGAAGTCGGCAAGAGTCAGAAAGCATGGAAGCAAGCAGTGCGGGACTCGCAGGCGGCCCCCTTGGTCGCAACTTGTAACTCTGAGACCTTAAACATTGATTTCTCACAAATGCTTTCTTGATTCTCACAAATGACACTTTGCCTCGCCGTCGGAAGTTTCCGTCCGAAGCCCAGCACTGAGGAGCCTGTCTAGTCTTGGCTCTCAATGCGCTCTTTAAAGATCGAAACAGCGAGACTTGCGATCAGTTTCTGCCAGCGACCAGGATTAGCCCTGGATGATCACCATTTGCTCTCTCAGGAAGGGGCGTCGTCCTGTACAATTGTTCAGGTACACATGATATGTGGCACGAGCGGAAAATGTTCTATTGTGCAAAGGACATGAAGCATGCCAAGGTGTATGGTTTGCTTCTTTTTTGCAATTGCAAAACTTAGCAAATTCTGGTGTTGAGGGATATCATGGACTGGTGACATAATGCATTGCTCAGATGTTCGATCCCAAATCATGTCATGATCAACCTCTTTCATGTTAGTTTATGGGCCAGGTCAAGCAAGGCTTCAGCCAAACCCATCGCAGGAATCACTTCAGCCTTGAGTGCCTCTCTTGGCAAACTCGTGGCTGCAGCACAATGTGCAAAGTGAATCATAGGTCTCCGAGTCTCCTTTCCTTCCATCTGCCTTAATCAGCTTTCCCCAACGGGAACTCTCTCAATTTAGCTGCTCGGGATCCAGGAGATAAAACTCACCTCACAACGCTGGGTTCCTTGAGCTCCACAAGTTTTTTTCATCTTAGGGTTGACAGAAATCGGCTGGCAACCGTAGGTGGAACAACATGGAACAACTGGAACAACTCCATGTTGGTTGTTTGGTGGATTGCACCATTGATTTGGACCCTGAAACTCAGCGTCTTCACAAGCTCCACTTGGACAGCGCGCGCTGTTCGGCCTCTCTCCAGGGGTTCTCTCAAAGAGGCCCACACCTCCCAGAAACGGATCGTGGCACCTTGCAGATCAAAGCAATGATCTCTAAGAGTATGTCTTGTTTGTAGCAACGGTTAGCTAAGTCCGATAAGCCGAGCCGAAATCCTGACACGGCGCCTCTGAACCGGAGGAATCCTTTGAAATTGGCCCCCTACCTCTCCTACCACCACCACCACCACCACCACCTCCTCCTCCTCCTCCTCCTCCTCCTACCACCTTCCTTCTTCATCTCCTTTTCTGTTTGCACCTTTTCCACTGTGCAACACGACCAGGGGCTGGATTGTGGCACCTTTAAGTTGACAATCTTGCTACAGCTGGGGGCAAACGTCATTGATGCTTTTGCACTTGAATGATCTTCAACCAGACTCGGTTGAGAAGATCTACGTGATTGACAGGGTGCGCTCTGTTTTGGTTGCAGCGCTGCTACAATTTGCTACAAAAACTTGGCTTTTGCGTCCTTTTTTGAATTCATGATGTTCTTCCGAGGTGTAAATAAACACCGCTGGTCGTGTGGATATGCCTGCGCCATGCGGGCAAATCTGGCAATAAAATTTGCTGTCAAAGATCATTGCAGTGGACGTCGCACTTCTTTGTGTGTACTTGGATGTTGGAGCACACATGATCGCTGCCAGGGTTTGCCTGCTAGCTTTCCAGTGCGCTGAAACTAGGACATACTCACATTCACTCTCTTCGCGCGCAGGTTGCAGAAGCATACAGGACCGAGGTTCGCTGTTCATTCATGTTCATTCTCGCATATGTCCTTGCTGGATTTGGTTGGAGAACAAACTGGCTAGATCATTCTTCTTACACCTTGTTTGGACGTTTCTGCCCCTGAGCTCGCTGACCTGTGGAAGGCTGTATGAGGTCGCTGGCGCGGCTGGATCGTTGCTTTGCTCAGGCGTTAAGAGTTTCACTGCTGTTCTTCCTGTTTTCTATGCTCGCAATACATCCAGCCCGTGCTATGAACTCCCTTCTGCGACACAGCCCCTTCCCCGCCACCTGTGCTAGGGGGGCTCCCTTATGGTAAAACGGCGAGCATAGTAGCATTGAATAGCTTTCTTTTTACTAGAAGATCTGAGGAAGCCATAGTCTGGCTCTTGTTACCTTATACTGGGCAACCCATTGCAACCCCTGATTGCGGACTTTTGGTCCATCCGCAGTAGAGGCCATCCTTTCAAATAGAAAAGAGCTACTTTGGTCAAGCAGCCTCCCAGCCACAACCATTTTGGACCCTTGAAAGGTGATCGACGGCTTTTGTTGCGTAAGCACATGATGGATCACCTGTCCTGCAGTTTGGCAGGTCCAAGGGACAGGGCTCAATAAAGAATCAATAATGGCCTCGGCCCTAATAGCAATGGTCTCCAACCCAGCGATGATCTCCAACCTAATAGCGATGGCCTCCAAAATGAATTCGGCTACATTCAACTTCCATCGCTGTGCAATCACAGGGAGTGGACGGTCTTGACTTAGTCTCTCAAAGGACCGGGTAAGAAGGTGCTTTCGTAAGCTTGTGGGTATGGCTTTGCAAGGCTCGGTTTAATCCAAACATTGTGCTAAAGCGGCAAGTGCTCCCCGCAAACATGGATCCTACTGGGCTGTGTCACATGTCGGGGGAAGATCCGGATTGGTCCAATTGAGCCCAACTCAGCACCTGAGGGCTACTGCTAAGCGGCTAGCTCGGCACTTTGTCTATGACATTTGTGACATACTTCTGTCGGGCCCAACAGGCCTAACTGTTTGCCTGATGCTTACACCAATTATCCAGCGATATGAGATGATTCTACAAGTGACTGGTATGACTCGTGGTATCACTGGCATCCTACAGCCCTGCTATAGCCATGGCTTGAAGGCTCTCAACGGCTTCAAAAAAACAGACTTAGCCAATGGCTTCAACTGTTCCGCTTCTAGTCTCAGCTTTGCAGCTGTGACTCGGTCATCATCATGATGGCCTGGCGGCATATTTCTTTACAGCCGCATCCATTTGCGTCGATGGTTCACCCGCGTCACGTTAGAACCCGTGCTTTTCAGAACTCAATTCGATCACTCGGCAAGGGACTGGCAGTTCACAAGGACTAAATATACATCCCAATCGACCATGGCTCACCTCATAGTCATTTCACTTTCCGCACCCTTCCTCCATGTCCTTCCCTCCACATGGCCCGGCTGAGGCACCAACCAAATGTGGGAACAGCGCTCGTTCTCAGGAGCTCAAAGCGAAGGACCAAACGAGTGGGGAGAGTTCTGTGAGAGGTCCTAGGTCCTCTGTGACACAAAGTCAACCGGTGGAAGAGAGGCTGGTCCACCATCAATATTTCAGGCCTACTCAATGCAAACTGATTGGGTGGACTTCTCATGTTTTCACGATTTCCTTCGCGACGGCCCAGGGTATCCAACAGTCGATAGAACAAGACCTTCCAACAGTGGGAAATGCAATTTTGATACGAAAAGAATCAGCTCGGAGCCCAGGCCAAATGGAGCTCCTCGTGCAGGTGGGGTCTCAGCTGTGGCTTGACCCGATTTCCGAAACAAGAGACTCCCGAGGCTTAGACGCGAGAGACCAAGAGCTCCAAAGACGCTTCAACTTCCCGGTGTGCCGGCCACCTGAGGTGATGTGTTGTTTAATCCCATAGAAACACAACGTGGACATAGTGTTTTCGTCATGTTTTTCTTCGCATTGACTTTAGTCTTCTTGGTTCCTAGTTTGTATAGAGAAGCTTAGTGCGGTGTTGAAGCAGCTTCGGACAAGGTCATGAGCGCAAGGAAGAAAAGACTGCTGGATAGAAGTCATCTTGTATGTCACAATCAAAAAAGCTGCAAGGGCTTTCTGCTAGCAAAGAACGTTGTCATCACTCAATCCAGGAAAACCTCAAGCCACCAAGTTAGGTCTGTAAACAGGTCGTAGCGTTCGCACCTTCAGGGCTGCTAGTAGCATCATACGACCGTGTAGGATGTCCAACTCCTGGCACCAAATAAATGCTCCAGCTCAGATCCTCAGTTTTGGGTTTTCGCTGCAAATTGTCCAAACCTATTTCAATTGCTTAATCACTTTTGCTCAAGTCTTGAAATTCAATGGGGTGCATTTCATGGGGGAAGATGTTCTAGAGAAGATCGAAAAGAGAAACCAGCAGCGGTCTTGAGACACAAAATGCAACCTGGATGCTTGGATGCCATTGGACATGGTTTTTTGAGGTTAGTGAAGGAAGACTAATGAAGGCAGAAACTGGGCGGGTTGTGAAGGTTTTGGTATGTGCCTTATGTCAATGTGTTTCTGCAAAACTTCGTTGCTCACGCTCCTCTGTGGCCTCCTGGGCTGGCTCTTGCGGCATCTGGCACAAGGCGAACAAGGGTTCCAGTGCCTTTATGCTATGATAAAGTGATAAAGTGTTCCAATCTTCCCAATGAATTTCATCCCCATTTCCCACAAATATGTTGCCCGTCGCCTTGTTGTTCTTCTCCTTTATCGAGGTTTCTGACTTGGGAGTCTTGGGCTTCTGAGACCTTACATTCGATGCACGACATCAAAAAGGTCAGCACATTCGTCTTGGCTTCAGAAACAAATGATGTTTCTTGGAAAACAAAAAAAAGTATCACATAGAAACACAAGACTATAAGGAATTGAAAGAAATGATGAGATTGGTGATGTGACCAACAAAGGTCTGCAATGGTGTGATTTCTGATGGGACGCATCGTAAAGTCATGTCTTGTGAATCCCGATGTTCCGGTCCAGGCCTCTCCATCTCAGTTGTACGAACACACACATGT